TATTCTACCTGATTATCAATTTCATTAAAGGAAGATAATGGAACAGATAATATACTGAATGAGTTTGAAATAAATAAAACGTTGTATAATGCGAAAAAGAAAGATTGTCAAATGGTAAGCAATGCAAATACAGCAATGTTAGACGTACGGTATGTATAGCATTAAGAAAAACTTACTGTTTCAGGTGGAAACGACAAATTCTGTCACGCGGAGATTTTTTCAGTTACGTAGTACTGATCCGTTCATTATATTGGGATTTATTGATATTGTTCGCCGACATCCTTGCCATTGGAATTCGCTGGACTACGACTTTGGACACAAAGACAAAAGGGATGAAAGCTCGAAGATCATTTGTAGAGAACTGAGGGACCTGTATAACATATGCATATCTCCACAATTAGCCCGATCAAGCATACTTTCTCTGATTCGGTGGTTTGAACGTGAATATCTCCGTTCGGTGCAGCTGAGTAAGACAAATACTTCTAAAAGAGGTCGTTGGAGCCGTAATGGATATGTATGTGCGCATCCCGAATATTTTAACAAATTACTGGAATTTGTTCCAAACAATCATTTACAACTTCTCTGCTGTGATAAATGTCAGCGGATGTTCAAGACGCAAACTCAATTTTTGATACATTATCACCATGCTCATGGAGGCGATGCACCATTCAAGTGCCATCATTGTAGTCGTTCATTTTTGTATTCTTCTACTTGGAAACGTCACGAAAATAGGCATACTATGAGATATATATGGAGTTGTCTATTATGCCGGCACATTAGCTCTACAAAAACAGATTATAACTTACATATGGTGGCACATACCGACGTTCGTGCATACGTTTGTGATCTGTGCGGAGCGTCTTATAAGAGTAGCACAAGTTTAAATGTCCATTTGCGAACGCATGAGCCACCAAGATTACAATGTAATATATGTTTTAAGAAATTTTACGAAAATTATCGCCTTAAACGACATTTGTTGATTCATGAAGCTGAAGCTTCCGTAAAAGCGAATATGAAGGGTTAGCCTAAATTTCTTCTAAAACCTATTGTTTTATGGTCAGAAGCAAAAATCTCGAGACAAATTTTACCAAAACGTTTTTTAATGAGCCTTGATGAATATATCTATAGGGCAAGGTGTGGCGCCTACCAGTTTCATATTAATTAGGCTTTTTTATATTAAATAGTAAATGTAACACTAGCAAGTATACACCGCGAATGGAACATTATACTAAAGCCGGACATGGGAGATTATTGCTTTTGAGAATAAAATATTAGTCAAATATGTAGATAGAAGATCATTTCGTCGCTGGAATAAAGAAACAGTGTAAATGCCATATACACTATTATTCGATAATCGTACCATTAATCTATTAGAAAAATCTTTAGCTTTTTTAAATATCTTTTTGGATCACGAACTTATTCGTGAAAAACGTTATTTTATAATAACAGTGTAGGTACTACAATTGTTTACAAATAGTGTATAGGGCACTTGGACTATTGTTAAGAAGATCCCCAAGAAACGTTACAGTAGTTTACTTCATTATATCGAGCCCTAGCCGCCAAAATAAAGTAAGCGACATTGTTTTCAAAATTTTATTTTTGATGCAGAAACGTATCTAGATACTCTAGGAATATTTCTGCATCAAAAACAAAATTTTGCAAAAAATGTCACGTTATTTTGGCGGTTAGGGGTCGATATTGCTGCTAACTTTCACATGCATCTTCAAAATGTGAATTATCAAATATTGAAATAACGACATACATCAATTACTTTTCTGAGTTTGCAACCAAAATAAAATAGTGTAAAATGATGATTGGAGGGTATCGCCGATCTAGACGGGGTCCTAGTAGCGTTGGACTTGTCAAAGGCGTTTGACACCGTCTGCCATTCCACGCTGCTACAAGACATTGAGGCCTCCTCTCTCCCACAGGGACTGAAGCGATGGTCGGCGAATTATATGAGTGGTCGACAATCATCAGTAATCTTCAGAGATCAAACCTCGAAACCAAGAAGAATAAAACAAGGGGTTCCACAAGGTGGTGTTCTCTCCCCCTTACTTTTTAACTTCTACATCTCGAAACTCCCCCAGCCTCCTGAAGGAGTTTCCCTGATCTCGTACGCTGATGATTGTTCGATTTTGGCGTCCGGGAATGGAATTGATGACCTCTGCTCAAAAGTAAACGGTTATCTCTCCAGCCTTTCTCGCTTCTTCACTGCAAGGAGCCTAACCCTCTCCCCAACGAAATCAACGGCGACCCTCTTCACCACCTGGACGAAGGAGGTCAGGCTAGAATTTGGCATTCACGTCGACGGCACACCTATACCGACGGTGAACAACCCAAAAATTTTAGGGGTTACCTTTGATAGCCTGCTCTCCTTCTCCGCGCACACAACCGCAGTTGTCAACAAAGTACAGTGCCGCAACAAGGTCCTCAAGTCGCTCGCCGGCAACACTTGGAGCAAAGACAAAGAAACGTTGCTGGCAACATACAAGGCAATTGGCCGGCCGGTTCTAAATTATGCAGCGCCTGTTTGGTCACCGGGGACTAGTTGGACGCAGTGGACGAAGCTACAGACTTGTCAGAACGCCGCACTCCGGACAGCGACTGGGTGCCTTCTGATGACGCCTGAGCACCACCTACACAGCGAGGCCCAAGTGATCCCCGTACGGGAACACAATAAAATGCTCAGTAAGCAGTTTCTGGTGGGGTGTCACAGAAGCGAACACCCTAACAGACCACTGCTGGAGGAGGAGCCTCCGCCCAGGCACGTCAGGGGGCACCTATTCGTGTACAAGGACGCAGTCCAGACCTACACAGACCAACCACTGGACCCAATGACGTACAGACAAGCGATTAACGACATTCATAGGGAGTCAGTCTCCACCTACCTCGACTCCAGGCCTAAGAATGTCGATATCGGAGCCCAATCACCACCTGTGGAAGAGACGGAGCTTCAATTACCTAGAGAGACCCGCGATACTCTGGCTCAGTTACGGTCTGGATATTGTAGCCGCCTAAACAGCTACCTGTCCAGACTCGACCCAAACATCCCGAATGAGTGCCCGGCATGTGGAAACTCCCCCCACGACACCAACCACCTCTTCACATGCCAGCTCAATCCGACTCAACTAACACCCCTCTCCCTTTGGTCCGACTCCATCGAAACAGCTCGTTTCCTGGGCCTACCGTTAGTTGAGCTCGACGATAATGATTGAAAAGTTGACCCGAAACAGGCGGGGCTTAGTAGTGCCGCTACAACAACAACAACAACAGTGTAAAATAATTTCATATAAAAGTTTATTTTGCAAAATATGCTGATTAAATAAATAAAAAAAAAAAAATAAAAATGTTCAAAGATAAAATAGTGTATAAGCAGATGCTTTCAGAAAAATGTGCTCAAATGGCATTTCTAAGAAAACATGGTACAGAATTTTTTTGTGAATTAACAGCTAAGGAATCAATAAAAGGTGTGGACCACACCGTGTGGTGTATTTAAAATATGAATATTTTGAATAAGAAGCGCACAATTAAAGTTTAGACTTGGTCAATTGGATTATAAAAGCTTCGAATTCGTGTGTGGTGAATAAAACGAATTGCTTTTCATTGTAAATAAAACAACCTGTTTTAAGGGGTGCTGTATGTAGTTGTAAGAATTCCTATTAAGGATTTCCTCAATATAATTTGCATATAGTATGTATGTACATACGTAAATGAATAAATATGTATTTATTCGTTCACATCTACCAAATAAATGAGATACATCACTGGTTATGTAACTGCTTTATGTCGATTCCTAATTCGGATAAACGTTTCTCGATTTCAGATGTGTCAAGACCATTTTCCTTGTTATATTTGTAGTTTACAGTAAGTTGTACTTCTTCTAGACCAGCTACTTGGTCAAAAAGATTACCTTCCAACCGCCTGTCAATATCATTTTCTTCTCGTAAAATGCAAAAATATAACAGAAATATGGCTAAACTTCCAGAAATGACGTAAGGTTGAAACCATAACGTGTCTTCGGAACCGCCGCTCCTTGTGTCACGAGCTCGCCAGTTGGCGGCTTGACTTCCAAAAAACTTTATGGGCTCATTCGAGTTTTCATTAGGCGAAGATTTCGGATTTCCTGACGCGTTTCTTTGTTGTACTTTAAGAAAATAAGTTTTTCTCTGCGCCAATAACCGTGATCTAAAAAATGCATACATATAGTAAATATATGGTTTTACTTTTATAGCACTTATTACATACAAAGGTTGAACGACAACACTATATTTTCCAAGCATATTTGCTACTTTCACTATAGGAATTTAATTAAAAAGCACTCAAAACGAATATGTAAATAACCATCCCTCAACTTTGTTTATTCTTGTAATGCAATATATTCACCAAGGCGAAATTATACAGG